AGCCCTCACAAGTATATAAAGACTCCTAGGGTTCCCAAAAACGTGGCTAAGCATTCCTTGGAGTATCTTTGACGTTTTTGGTGCCTTCTCCTCCCTTTCCTAAGTCATCTTGTTGCTAGTGGTGTTTGTGACTCCATTAGAGGTGCAACATTTAAGGCACTAAGCTTTTAGAAGTCAAGATCAAGAAGGATTGTGATTGTTATTGCTACATAACAATCAATGTAATGATTCTAACCCTAATCATATGTCAATTTCAGATTTGTATGCTAGTCAATTAGGGTTTATTGCTTTGGTATTCAATGTTGTATGTTTACTTAGAAAAACCTAGATCAAAGCAATTAGGGTTGCATGAACACCATAGGAATGATGTTATGCTCATAACCCAACAGATATAACGATGTTATTATTTCTAATCCATGATTTGAGCTTCACTGGATCAAAATTAGCTGGGCTTGGAAGAGTTCCATCATTAAAATCCATCTTATTCTTTACGGACAATGAAATTGTCATAGATCTGCTCCATGATGCATAATTTTCACCAGTGAGAATCTGGGAGACAAGAACTAAGCCTGGATTATTAGAATAATGAAGCTAATATGGATCATTTGCAACGTTTTGATTTGGATTGTGATTTGCGTTATCATCCATAATGATCAACGAGAATTCAATTGATGAACAAAGATCAATCGATAAGGAATAAAAGGATCAATTGATGAACAAAGTCAAATTGATCAAGAAAAAAATGTAAGAATCAATCAATGAATCAAATCTATTTGAAAGAAGAACAAGAATCGATCGTGAAGAAAAAAACTGAGCGGAAAGATCTCTGATACCATATTATGATTTTGAGATGAATCAATTGAAGAGCTGAAAATATTCTTCTCATTATTCAATTGCAGAATACGAGTTACAAATATATTGTACAAGCTAGGCTAACTTACACCACTAATATCAACCCAATCTAATCAACTAACTGTAACAGAAAAGAAATGCTAACTAACTTCTAACTGCTACTTGCTGACGTGGATATAATAGGTTCTAAAAAGCTCGTCATGGCTCCAAGGCTTGCACATGCCGCCAAGCTTTACCAAAACGCCGCCTTAACTCATATATGTGTATAAAAATAAATAATAGTTGAAAATACATATAAAAATATTAATTATATAGAAAATTGCCGCTTTAAGTCACGCCTTACAAACGTCGTAGCTCGCCAAGGCTCGAAAAAGCTTGAGGCTTGACATTGCCGCCAAGTCACGCCTTATGTTATTTAGAACTTTGGGATATATACATAGCTCCAATAATTGTTGATGAAAAATTAGTACACCATTATATCCATTATGCAATGGATAAATATCATGTTTGAGATCAAAAATGACTTTGCATTTTATGACATTTATACGAGGAACATGCTTCATGTTATATATTTGAATCTAATTATTCAACCAAAACCATTCCGGTCCCATCTATATGTTCCTCACGGTTGAAGAAATTAGCTATTTCGTTACCATATTTTCTGATCCTTTTACATTCTCCACTTCAATTTGATTAACAACTGATCATTTTTAATATTCACTTCTTTGTTAACACTTTCACTTGATCATTCTTCTCAAATGTAGACTAAAGAACAAAGCAATTAGTTGCAATACAGAACATTCGACATTCTGACACTATTTCTAAAACCCTTGTCAACTATGCAATTAGTTGCAATATAGATTCGACATTCTTCCACTATTTCTAAAATCCTTGTCACCTGGACCATTATCGACAAACACAAGACTTCCATCGACAATCTCAAGTAAGAAATCCCTAGAAAAAAAACTTGTCATTCTCAATTTCAACCTCACGTACACCGTTATTATTATGAAATGATAATAAATTCTTTAAAAATAGACAATAAATATATAGAGAAGGCGTCGTATACGCCTAATCAATATTAGGAGGGTCAAAGACTTATAGTTTAACTAAATCATATAAGTTGATATGTCTTAGCCATATCAAAGTATAAGGTTTTTTTTGGTACAAAAATTCATCTAATTTGATTACTAAACGACTTAATGATTACACGATGAAAATCAAATTATAAATTACAATATCTTCTCTAACAATGTGTTACATGATTATATTGATATGTCTTAGCCATATGAAACAACGTGAATGACCGGATTTCTATTCGGTGAACAATCGTTTTAAAACACCATACAATTGGGCCATACTTGAGTCTTCAGCAAACTTCTCTCTCTGGACTTAGTCCCTCAATTTACATAAAATTTCAAAATAATTCCCAGCACTTTTGGTTTGATTATGTAAGCGCATACATAGAAGTACGTAAAACACCATTTCTAAAAATAATTTGGTATTTTTATCATTTTTTATAAACACCATTTCTAAAAATAATTTGGTAACGTAAAACAAAGTGTGTCACTACATTTAACTTTTAAATTTTCCAAATTACCATATCGTTCTACAATTTTGTATCATCATCTCTAATTAGTATTTTTCTAATAACAATTTAAGAACATAAAACAAAGATTTTATATCATTCCATACTTAACTTTTTAATTTCAAAATTACAATATTGTTCATCAATTTTTTTATTCAATGCAAATTCCTTGCAACAGTACTATGTTACCTGAACATGAACATAATAAATTAATAATTCAAATCAAGATTTTTTGTTGCATAATCTTTAAAAACAAAGCTTGAAATTTATCTTCTGCATATCACTATATAAATACTATATAATGTTCAGCGAGAAACACCAACCCCACAACCTAAATCATGTTGGGAACTAATTGGCTTGGATATAGTTGATAGCTCATATATCATAAACATATCCAAAGATATCGATATAACATAGGTACCAAAAGTGTAATTAGGTATTAAGATATTAAATATGATTACCATAATCAATATTTGTAATAAAGCTATTTAGGATGCTGTAAACATTCGAATATGAAACTTTTAACGAGTTTTTTTTTTTTTTAGTTTTAGTATGTTGATCTATTTTCACATAAATGAATTAATAGCAAAAAGTTTTAAAAAGTCAAAAGAAAAATATTAAAACATATGAAAATAGAAAAAAAGCTGAAAGTTTTAGAAAAATATAAATTTTAAAAGGGATAATGACTTAAAAGGGTAACATATTTTTCAGTTTGTACACATTTAGTCACTAATGTTTTTTTTTGTCCACATTTTCCCATTGAACTTGTTCAACTGTTCAAATAACATCCTTATGACTTGCTATCGGAGGTTAAACCGGTTTCCGGCATATTTGCCACCTCCGGCGACACTCCGGTCGTCTTCTCCGGTGAGTCTCCAACCATAAATCTAAAATAATTTAATTTTTTATTTTTTGATCAACAACAGACACACTACTTCATCTCCAAACTAGAAATCTAAACCAAACATGAACTCAAGAACATAAATCAAAAAATCTAATGAAGAACATGAAGAAAAACCCAGAAATCAAAGTTGTGTTCTTGAACAGAAATGAAAAATCGAAGTTAACGAAGAACATGAACTCAAGAACATGAACTTCGGTGTCTTCATATCGTGATTTAGCTTGAAGATCAAACACCTTGCACTTAAATATCATTTTTAGAGAGAGAAATAATGATATATGTTCTTGAGTTTGAGCTGGTTCAAAGGATAATGCATCGACGAACTTGTACATTGTGCTGCATTGTTTGTACTTTCTTGACTTCCAAGAACAAAGAAGATGAACACGATGAACAAAAGATCTGGAACAACACTCCGATGATTTTTGGGTTTGAAAACCCTAACTCGAGTTCATCTTAAAGCTCATCAGACCTTCAAGAACACAAACAAAAAAGATTTATTACGGTTTTCAGATCTGATGAACAACAAGAACACAAATATGATGAAGAACACGAACACAAACCCAAAAGTCATCTTCATCTGTTCAAGAACATACAAACACTCATGATTCTCGATTTCTTATACGAACTTGATTTCAGATTCGAGTTCAGTGTGTTCTTGAACAAAAATGGAAACATGATTTTCGAGCTTCAAACTTTTCACATGAACACTTTTAGATTCGAGTTCAGTGTGTTCTTGAACAAAAATGGAAACTTGATTTCAAACTATAACTCAAAAACATAACTTCGATTGAAGATCTTTTGATTTATGGGAAGAAGATGAACACACACACATCGATGAACTCGTTTTTTCTGATCTGGGTTGAAGTGGTTGAAGGATTTATGGGTTTATGATTTTTGGGTCGAAGGGTTTGAAGGGATGAACATGATTGTGTATGTGTTTTCTGATCTAACAAATCCACACATACACACCGATTGAAGGGTTGGAGAATTTTTGTTCAGATCTAACAAGCACACACTCACATGCAAATCTGAAAACATTTTGATGAACTCATTTTTCAGATCTAGTTGTTCTTGAAGATGTTCAATTTGGGTTGAAGGGGTTGAAGAATTTCTTGAGGAAAAAACATGAATCTAGGTGTTTTTTGTATATGTATTTGTTTGTGGTGTTTTTGGTCGGAAACTCGTTGGAAAAGATGACCGGAGTCTCACCGGAGCTCACAAGAACGCCGGAAACCGGTTAAACCTCCAATAGTAGGTCATAAGAATGTTTTTTGAACAGCTTAACAAGTTCAATGAGAAAATTTAGACAAAAAAAAAAAGTCAATGACTAAATGTGTACAAACCTAAAAATATGTTACCCTTTTAAGTCATTATCCAATTTTAAAATTACATCTATTTAGTAAATATTTTTAAAATATTTTTAAAACTATACCTATTTGATAAATAAATTTTTAAAATACACATATTTGGTAGAGGACGTTGTAACAATACTTAACGGATGGGATTTTAAAGGGATTAATTTGTAAGGGAGCTATCTTAACCAAAAAGTATAATGTAGGGGGTGTAAAAAAAATTGTATCCTTAATATATACGTGTCATCCCTTTTTTCGCTTCTTTACTTCCAACTCGGTCTTCGACACAACAAAACTCAGAGAGAATATGACGGACCAAACCGAGGAACAAACGACAACAGTTGCCGCCGGAGAAGATTCCGATATCACCGTCAAACAGGCGAAGCCGACACTCGATGAGACAGTGAAGAAGCTGGAAAAGATGAGCTTCAGCATTTGGCCGCCAACGCAACGCACTCGCGACGCCGTCATCAAGCGTCTCATCGAGACACTTTCCGACAAATCTGTCCTCTCCGATCGTTATGGAACAGTACCTGCTGATGAGGCCGCCGATGTCGCCAGTCGCATCGAGGAGGACGCCTTTAATGCCGCCTCTGCCTCACCTGTCGCTGCTAACGACGACGGAATCGAGATCCTTCAATGTTACTCGAAAGAGATCAGTAAGCGAATGCTTGACACCGTTAAGTCCAGATCTGCCTCATCGGCTGCCTCCCTGACTCCAGATGAAAAGGACGGTGCCACCACCGATTCTTCTGCTCAGGATGGAGAAAGCTCGACCGTGGAAGCCTAATCTTAGAGCTGTTGCAAACGGTTAGGGTTTCACATTTGTATCTTTATCGGTTTGCTCAGTTAATTTCTAGGGTTTTGATTTCGATGAGTGCTTGTTTATCTGTTTTTCAGATCTAAAATATCGATGCGTATGTTCATTTGACTTTTATGGATTTCTGTCTTAATCGTACATCTGTTCGAGGGTTCTGGGATTTAATATGTTATATATCACATCTTCTTAAATTTCTACTTTGATTTCTATGAATTTCGCAGTGAAAGCAGTGTGTATACTATTCTTCGTAGACAACCTAAATGATGTTCCTATTAATATTCGAAATTTGAATGTTCATCTTCATCCTCATTTTACATCATCCATATGTATCTAATACAACTTCATCGATTAGTTCATTCATGCTTCATTTTGCAATAGCAAGTTAGGGTTTCCCAACAGAATTCACGAATCGGGTGTTAAACCTAAGTTCATATGAAGTACTGAATTTCAAATTCGAAATCTAAAAACTATGCAAGAAAGAATTCATACAACTGTTGCACTTCATTCACCAAATTCAGTAAAAAATCCTAAATGGATTGTTTTCAATATGCCCACTTCCAATGTTAGATAAGGAGATCAAAAGAAACCTTGTGAGTTGTGACCACTGAGATGAAAAGTTGTGGTGTATAGCATAAATGGTCCTATACAAAGTTTTAGACTTCTATAGGTCCATCATCTACATCCATATAGCCTTCTCATAGATCACACATAAGTTATAGATCAAATGCCACAAAAAGGAATTGTGTTCTTTTATACATAACATGGCAATTTTGTAATGTGTTTAACATGCCATAGATTGATATTTATGTCATAATATCAATAGAACAGATTAGAATTTGTTTAAAAAACTTGAATGCGTCCTTCATCAGTGTAAAGGCCTTGAATAGCCTCACAAAATAGTTCTACATTCAGTTCAATCTAGTCCAGTTTTAAAAACAAGTAAATAACCACTTATGTCATAGTTATAATGTTATGTTTCCTATGGGTATTGATCCTAAAGTTATGTGAAAGCATTATTATATATTTTTTAAAGGATTAGTGTAACTAAATATCTATACGTGTGACATGTGATTCATGTCATTCATCAAGGGCACATTGAAAAGATGTATAATGCTGAATACACATATAACTTTTCTAGTGGAGTAGCACAATCAACAATCGCAACATGGAAAATGGGTTGGGGAAAAGGGCCAACCTAAAAAGATGAACAACTTTTATTCTGGAAAGCCATGGAAAAGTCTAGACATAGTTTCCATCCAATGAAAAATTCTCAATTTTTTGTTTCGTATGTTATTTTGTTTATAATATAAATCATGTGAAATCAAGAATATTCGCCAATTATGATTTAGTAGACGGTAAATTTAGGTGATTTTAGGTTGATTATTGAATCTTGCATTTTTTTTTTCTTTTCCAAACCTGTCAAATATAAAACCATCATTTATAAACGTTTTCTTTTTGTAGCTTTCATGCTATTGGTCATTAGTTCAATCTTTTAAAATCATGTGATAAACTATGTTCACAATTGTTTTGCATCGGTAAATAATTATAATTCAAGAGGGCAACATATTTTTTACATATCAAGCCACAAGTTTTGTTAGATTGAGTGTCACAAGCTTAGCGCTGTAAACAAACCGAATGTTTGTTTGTATTTATTCGTTTAACTTTAAACGACAAACGAATGAACACAAACAATTAAACGAACAAAATTTTATCTTTGTGTTCATTCATTAAGAAATTTATTATGTTCGTGTTCGTTCGTTTAAATGAACAGAAACAAACTTAAACCTACATAATTGAAAACGAACGAATACAAATGAACTTAAATGAACATAAATAAACAAATAGATGTGAACTTGGACGAACAAACACACACACACTCACATAAACGAAGGAGTCGTTCGTTTAACCAAACGAACATGATATCTTGTTCATGTTCGTTTGTTTATTAAATAAATAAACATAAACAAATTTTCCCCCAAACGGTTTACCAAACATTTGGTTCATTTACAGCCCAACCCAGGCTTAATTCTAATAACACGAACGATAAGTAGTAATATTATATACTAATAAATAGTATAAACAAATTATAAATGAAGTGATAGCTATGATAGGAATTGAGTGAATTATGATCCATTTGTATCCATGATATGTTTTGAATCCAAGACTTCGAAAGTTCCAAATTAGTCGTAGAAGTAGAAGTTTTGGACAAATGGACCTTTGGGTTTTGATTTCTGCTATTGTAACTTTAAGTGAACGTTAAAGTAAAGTGTATCACATTATATCGGCCCATACAAAAAGCAACGCAAACAAACCCAAGTTAAGAGTCAACAAGTTAGAAAATCGAAATGAATCTATAATTCTATATTACTTCTAGTTCTGGATCTAAATTGGTGGTAAATTTTATCAAAATATAATATGTTGAATATCTTTAATTCTATTTGATCAATTTTTTCATGCGAGTTTTCCTCCAATATTACCAATTAGATATAATTAAAATTTGTATTACCCTTACTTTAACCGTGTTTATATTGTTTTATGTAAAATTATAAGTAGCAAAGTGATGTAATAAAAAAGTTTATTATGATACTAATAAAGTTCTGTAACCAACCGACACTTAGGTGTTGTTTGTTTTTTCTAAAAAACCTCTTCTGACCACTTATTGCTGCAAAAAGACTTCTCCTGACCACTTATTGCTGCGCCGCACAGCACACGCCCAACACTTGGTCATTTGCAGTTGTTTGTTTTTCAGAAGACTTCTAACTTAAAAACTGTTGCGCATGTGCTGCGTGGCGCAGCAATAGACCATCTGTTTCAAACCTCTTCACCCCTTACTTTAACTTATTACAGCAGTCTGCAGACGTTAAAAAACAAACAAACTTTTTATTACATGATGCAGCTTTTTGGTTCACCTCTTCTGCTACAGAGGGTTGCAGAGGTGGTCCGTAAACTTCAGACATTTTCGTTTCGAAAAAACAAACAACACCTTATATATTTTGAGTTTAGTGCTTCTATAAAAAAAACCAAAAGAAAGACGGTTAAATAGGTTTATCAAATAAAACTGCTTTTTTTGGTTTTCCCGCTCTAAAAAAAGTGTTAGTTCCGAAAATTACAAAGAACCCACAAGGCCGTGAGACAAACCGCAACGAAGTATTCCCTTTGAATAGTATTTATCTTCACTTGCACAACCAAAGCAATACGATCCGATATGCTATAAAAAGAGGGATATCAACATTTTGTTTCCAAATAGATGACACAATGGATAAATGGAAAACAACGTGGTCAATCGTATCATTTTGGAGTTTACAAATTACAAATAGGATATAAGACAAAGTGATATCAATCCCTATTTTATCCAAAGTAACTAGAGTTGTCAGTTTATTAAAACCCATTCTTCACCCACTTTGTCAAACAAAAAGTCCATATAAACACCTTAATTTTGAAGTTTCAAATTCAAGCATATAATATTTCCCCAAGGCGCATTCAAGTGGATACGTGATACAGAACCGGCTTGACCATCACTTCTATATATCACTTTTATAACTCTAACCCATAAGGCATTTAGGTCTTTCAAAAAATCATCATCTCAAATTTTTGAAGACATGATTAAACACACAAATAAATAAATAAATAAAATAAAAAAATAACTCTTCGACCTACTTCCTATTTTTAGCCATTGTCTTTTCCATTTAACTCAAAATAATTTCCTCTAAGTCACCTCCCATAACAAAACGCTATATTAAAGACTCCAAACCTCAATCACCGCTTTGCAGCTCTAAAAAAATGGACATATAGTAAATTCCAATTCTCCCAATACCAACTTGAAAAGAGTAACTTAGACCACCCAAATATAAAATATTTTCTTTAGGATTGGAAAGTCTAGCCGTAAATTTGTCAATTTCTAGTTTCTACCCATCAATATAAGACATTGTAGTACCTACGGGCAACTCGTGGTACATAAAAGGAAAACGAATTAGAGAGAAGTTCCATGATTTGTAAACTTCACTGAAATCAACCCTAATTAATTTACTTTTTTGCATATTACTTTTAAAGCCCAAAGTGAGGTAAGCATAACACCCTGATTTTAGGGTAAATTAAAATGCTAATTTAAATTAAAAAAATAAAATAATTACTGTATTTGATAGGCTGGAGTTATAGTTAAGAGTCTCAAATATGTGAGTTGATTTTCAATCCTTCAAGTTAAAGTATGACATTTGATCTAACTTATCTAACTAGGTTTTCGACTTATTTTGTAAGTCTATTAACTTTTAAGGTTATAATACAGTCAAAGGATTTATATTGTTAATTAGGTGTAAAACTCATATACTACACATGTTGATTAAAAAAAGTTATATATGAAGATATAAATATTAAGTATTTTTTTTAAAGAAAATGTTAAATATCAAGGTGTAAACATTAAGTATTTTTTAAAATAAATTTTCATAATAAATACAAACAAAATGATAAAGTTAAATAATTCATTTATTACTGAAAAACAAATTACGGGGAAATAGTTATATTTTGGCCATATAACCTTTTTTAGTTTTATCAATAAAAAATAACAAAGTTTGATTATTTTTCTATGTAGACCATTTTGACATAAAATGACAATGAACTTTGAAAGAAACATGCAGATTTTAAATTATATACATTAAAGGAAGCATATTAAAATTTGAAAATATAATGAAACAAATTAATGACACATTAATTACTTTTTATAACCTAAAAATTAGAATAGTTAATTAAGAAAATTGAAAATTACCACACATGACATGTGAAAATTAATTGTAAGAATTAACTACAAAATTACATTTCTCAAAATGCATGTGAATATGACAAATGACATGAATGGTTTTTTATTTATTAGAGTAGATAATAATGTCAACTTGGGCTAAAATTTAAAAATAGGAAAATGAGGGGTCAGTTTTGCTAAGTGATGAAATATTAGATCTCCCTCGAACCCTTCCATCTCTTCCGTTTGGATAATTTGTCATCAAATTAAGAGAGAAATCTTGAATTAAAGGAGGAATTTGAATTTGAGAGAGATATTGAAAGTTAACTTGAGATATAACATCAAATCATTAAAGTCAAGCTTAGACCATCCACATTATTATAAGACTACTGATCTTTTAAATG